TATATATTCTTCTTGCTGACCAGCGCCCAACCTTTTTTCTTGTGTGACACGCCGCGTTGTACAGCGGCAGTCTTCATCAGTTCACTGTGTCCGAAAATTTATGGCCTGAAAAAAATCGGCCAGAAAATCGGATGATTTACAGCTGGGGGTGCTTTCCTGACACGCACATAAGGGCTTTCTAAGCAGCGTTGATGGTCTGCGCCTTGTCGGTATGTTCTTCTTGTTTTCAAATGTATTTAATTACACAAGGACCGCTACTATTGACCATTCGGAGCCATCGGCTCTTATTTCACTAGCCATCCGCATTGATGACTTTCGGCTTTGCATAAAGGGATTTATTGAATAATTCTTGTAGTCAACCGGATGGTCAAGTGGAATGTTTGCTAATTTTAGTGGTTAGAAAAGCTAAAGAAAATGTTCAATTCGTGTTTGTACGTAGCCGAACTTATATAATTAGAGTTTTTTGCAAAAATGTGTTTTTTAGCTTTGACTGATATTTTTTTGCTTTACTTTTTATTCAAAAGCGCTCTATTTTGTAGAGTTTTACTTAAAAATACTGACGATCTGGAGATCGTTTACGCGAAAAATTACAAGATAAATGTGTAGCTTTGTAAAAATTTTACGAAAACTTTTTTCAGCATCGAATTCGGGACAAAGACGAAAATAAATTCCTCCCGTTTTTCCCGAAAACCATTAAGCTTTTCTCCAAAACCAACCTAAAACTAAACATTTTTAATCGAAAACGCAGACAACAATAATTTTCTGATGATTTTCTTCTTTTCTGACAATAATGGGGTCTTTTTGGACAAAATGTAAATGAAGATTGTTACAAAATTCGCCGCATTCATCGGTTTGCAGGGAACTTTAGAAAACCCATTCCAGCTTCGAATTTGGCACAAAAAGCAAATAATTTTATTTTTTTTTTGCCTAAAGAGCAAAAGTTATTATTTGGAAAATTCTCCGCCCTCATCGCTCTGAAGATTTTTAAAGTTTATTTAAATTTTCAGGACATTCCAGTTTTAAAAAAGCTTCTTTTAAGCAAATCTTTCTACCCAAAAAATTGCATTGTTTTTTAGTTTTACTTAAAATGCTGACAATCTTCAGGTAATTTCTGTAAAAAATTGTAAGATAAATTTTATTGGAACATTGGCCTCTTAACAGCATTGCAAACATTTTTGGAAAACTTTTTTAAGCTTCGAATTATGGACAAAACCCTAATAATTATTTCTGGGTCCAAAAATATTTCGCCGAACTGCAAAAGCGAAAGTTTATAATCATTTATTGGGAAAACTCTTGGAAACTGGAAAACTTCACTTTTAGGTCAATATTTCTAAACAACACTGTCTCTAAACAGAAAAACCGCGTTTTTCTTGACGTTTTACTGTAAAATACTGGCAAACTGATTTGTTTATGCAAAAAAATTAAGAGATGGATTTTACAAGAAAACTCGTCGACTTTCTTTGAACCCCGTTCTGTTGCTGTGAAAATCTATATGAGTTTTTTAGTTGTTTGAACAAAGTAATAAAGTAAAACAATAAAATATGGTTTTCGGTCCTTATATAAGTACCCTTAAACGCGTTTGTTTGCATTATTATACAATCGTAGTTAATATCATCATAAAGTAACTCGGAAGCTATCACAGATACGAAAACAATACCAAAGGCAAAAAATCTTGCACATTTTATTGAGAAATGAAATTTAAGAGAATAAAATAAATTGGACTGGAAACATTGACCATAAACCTAGCAAAAAGTACATCCTGTAGATTATGGCAAGCATTGAGCATTACTAATATAATCACGAATAACCACCCATAATGAGCTAGTAAAAGTTTCAAATTTGTAGACAAAACCAAAAAAACTTTTTACATCCTGTATTTTGTAAAAGAAGCCTGTGTTGACTCTGTATATGCACATTTGTCGTTTCGCCTAATCTCAGTTCACGTTATATTCCATTTTAACTTCACCAAAACAAAAAATAAACTTAAAAGTCCCTAACTAACTCGCCTTAAGTGCAAAAAACTTAATTGCAATCAAACTGAAGAACATCAAGAAAGCACTGTGTATTTTCCAAATGGTGCGTTATGTTCATTGGAAGTAAATCACTGCGTTTGGGCTGTTTTTCCTTTAATTACTCCAGACAACAGATTACCAGAAAATTAATCTGCCCATATTTTTTTTCGATCCAAAATGCAGCTCTATCATTAAATCACGCATTCGCTTCAAAGCTCAGTTCTTAGCCGCCAAATAGAGCCAGGTCCGCTCATTTTCCATCCTAATCATTCTTCGGGGGTCACGTAGTAATTAGAAGCTTCTTTTTGGGCTTATTTATATGGACCAGAGCAGATAGTTTTAATTATAGGTTGCAGATATTGTTTTAGAAACTGTATGATATATTATAAGGCAGATACGTCTCGTGCAAATGATCGAAACCGGCTCAAGCTTAATACCTATGTTTAGCTGATATTAAGGCTCTGTGTCAACTCGGGGATTTTCCCGTGAGATTTTTTAACATAGGTGCAATGCTCTGGATTCAAGGGCCTAATTAGCAGAAGAGAAATTTTCTGCAGCCCTAATTTTGTTTCCAAAATAGTGCTGTTTTGTTTAATTAAAACACCCAACATATGGGTTAAACGCGGCTCGTTTGAAACGCGACTTCGATACGAAAGGAAGGTAAATAGATCGGCCTTAATTCCAATTCAACGGTCGGAAATTCATCTCGTTAAAGACTTTGGCTGCCTCTTCGGCCCCTTTTCCTCCTAGAGGGTTGTCTTTCCCACCCTTAGGGGAGAGGCGCACAGCATCGCGCGCAGTCACGCCTCCTAAAGACCATCATCATCAGTAGAAAATACCGACACCGGTCCCAATCTCAGTTATTAGTGAACCATGCGGGAACATAGATAAGAAGGAGAAGAAGTTGAGTGTTGAACTATGGTGGCCCCTCAAACAGTGCAGCATCTTGACAACACGATCGCAGCGCAATCGCAGGTGCGTGTCTTTAATGATAGTGTTCGCGATTAGGTGCCCCTTAATCATTATTTTATACGAATTTACTACGGAGGTTTCTTCCGCCTTTAGGCTACCAGGTGAACTTGGTTTAGTGGGTGCGAACATTCATTTGCCCCAATTTTTTTAAGTCGACTATTTGCGTTTAGTTCCGTCGATCTTGGCCAAAGTGAACCAATTTTTAACCTTACTGTAAAGCTGTATTTCTTCTTCGTGTGAGTGCGTGTGTGTGTTAAAAAATTATAAGAAAAAATGATATATTTTTTCAATTAAGGAACTTGACGCTGTTTTGGACTATGGATCTTACTAATCGTTCGCATTAATTAGCCATCCAAATCTCGATATGGAATTCTGACTACTTTAATACTGACTACAATTTAATTAAATGAGTTCTCCGACTTCTAAAATCTTGAAAATTCTGACAGACTCTGAAGATGCACGTCAGTCGTGCGTGCGAAACGTCAGGCGATTCTTTTCCTCAGTGGTACAATTGCGTGAAGACATCGATTTTCAGGGCAGCATTGATTTATTTGACAAAATCGTATTTTTTTTTGGATTTCACTGAAATTCTTAGGACGTTCAAACCGACAAGTTGCTTATAGATGACGAAAATTCGGCTTCTGAGGCTCAATAGAAAGTTCATTAAAAAAGGGCATGTAATTGTGTGAAAAAAAATTAATAATTTACTCACATTTTATTGACATTTTTATGGTCTTTAGACCGACAACTTTCTTATACCTGGCGGAAATTTTGAGTTGCTAGTAAACTTCGATGAGAATTTGGCATTTTTTAATGAAGGGCTTGTAATAACGCGGGAAAAAAATCAGCCAAGCATTGATTTGGCTCACAAAAATGAGTGTTTGCTCACATTTTGTTGAAATATTCGAATTGTTTCAGTGGAACTTTATCCATCAATGACGAAAATATTAAGTTGTTACTTACACTCAGTGAGAAGTTGTAATTTATTAAAAAAGGGTGTGCGATAAAATTCACGTTCAGCCCAGCATTGATTTGGCTGAAAAATCAAATTTTCCCACATTCTTTTCGAAATTTACCTTTAGAAAAAAACTATGAAAATCTGCATGCCTTTTAACGGAGAATTGGGTCAATTTCTTGTTTATATTTTTATTATTTCTTTCTGTGAAAACTATAGAATACTAAGACAGGGCTGGAATTGGCTTCAGACATTGTTTGTCCGATTGTATACATTTTATCAAATTTTATTAAATTAAAACAAAAAACGGAATCTGGGTTTTTGGCTATCGCTTCTTCACTGACATGCTCGTTTAAATATTTGATATTGCGCAACAAATCGACCCTTTATCGGTTACAAAGCTTAATAAAATAAAAAATATAAAATCAAGCAAAAATTATCTCTCAAGATCCGCAAGAAATTAACTATTCAAACAACCGATTTCGAAATTTAATTGACAAATTTAAAGCCAAGATGAACTAAGAATTTGTTTTGAAAACTTCGAAAACCGTTACAGACATTTTCAATGCGATCTTTATTTACAGCTTGGAGCTTGGCCTATTTTTGTTTAGTTTTTTATTGCTTCCTTTTATGTAGACCGTAGAAAATTAAGATTTCGCTTCAGAGATTGATTTTTCGTTTGTTTGCATTTATGAAATTAAATATTTATTGGTTGTTTGTGAACAGATTTAGATACGTTGTAAACCCAGTTCCATGATCTACAAAAAGCTTAACAATTTTACACAAACCCGCAAAAAATCAAGTACTTATTCAAACTACTGATTTTGAAATTATATTAAAACATTTAAAGCCAATTGAAATAATTAGAAATTATTTTGGAAACTTGAAAATCTACATATATTTTTAGGTACCTATACAGAACTGGGTTAATTTCTTCTTTAGATTTTATTGTTTTCGCTTTTAGAAATTAAAAAGTAAAAAGATTCAGAGAACAAAAATTCACTTCAGATATAGTTTTTCCGTTTGCAGGTATTGATCAAATTTTATTTAAAAAAAGGAAAATGGCCTTTAAGCTATCGCTTAAAAGATCTAAAATTACGCAAGAAATCAACCATTTATCAGTCGCTTGTGAACAGATTTCGGTACTTTGAAAACCCAACTCGATGATCTTCAAACGCTTGACCAACTTAAAAGATTTAAAAACAATCAACGATATTAAATTAAAATATGCCAAATTTTGCACAGTTCACAATGAAGTTCAATATTCACTTAATTTCGAATAATTAACTTAACTATGTTCAACAGGGTTTAATGTCTGGCAATTAAGTGTTTCGACTCACTTTGAATCTAAAGCGGAAATCTGGACATAAATTGCGCGATTTTGAGGGAGAACAACAATTAAATATTTCGTGCGATTTTCATTCCTATCTATTTGCGTCATTTTGCTCCTATAATTATGCGTCTGTTACTGTGTGATTCAAATAATCGACTTGAGCATTAATTTGTGTTATAATTCAACATTTAGAAGCTTAAAGAAAATAAAAATCGTGTCTTTACAGAAGTTGCTGGTGTTTAAAAACACCCAGTTTGACAACATTAGTTCCTTTAGGATTCTATTAGTTCAGATTTACATACTTGGTTAGACTGTTGGTTGAATCGAGAAAAATTTCGGCAAATTCGCAAAAACATGGAGTTGTACAAGAATCAATCAACTTATTACCGAATCCAACAGCTAGCAGTGTTCATAAAAAAATTAAACGCCATTGACCATAAAAATGCTTCGTTCAACCTAATTTAGCTGACTAAAGCCATATTTTGAATTTATGTTAAACTTTTAAGGCCGGAATCAAATTAAAATAGAGAAAGTTCATTAAAAATCTGAGGTAATAAAAATCTTGATTCAAACCAAAACCAACAAATAATTGTCTGTTATACTGGCGGGTTTGGGATTGCATAGAAACTCCTATTACTTTATAAAAATGCCCGACGTTTATTCAGTTTTAGAAATAAATTAATCCAGTCCCAAACCCGCTATTGGAACAACCATGTAAGTTTTCTTTGCATCTTCATTGTTCTTTGGGGATGCTTAGGCCCCTACCCGATCGAACCAGAGACGTTTTTCCTACAACATTCACTCTTTTTTGCAGATATCGACACCAATCAGCCTTTTTGCCCCCACTTGTGATAGAATGTACTCGGGCAGCTACACTCAGCTGTCGCCCACTAGCACCACGTCTTCAAGCAGCGACAACTACGCAACCCAAGTGCCTCTGGAGACCTTAAGGAGCCCCCTGGACTATTCGCCGCATTACCAGAACCCCTACCCGCCCCGATACAGCAACTGTTTCTACACACACTCTCCACCCTCTGCCGATATTGCTACCAGTGGCTATCAGCCGCATCAGAATCAAATCTATTCACCCTGGGGCCAGCCCAGCTACATGAACCCATTTGGAAGCTCGCCCAACATCATCAATCGGCCTACGATAGGAGTGAACTTCCCCAGCTACACCGGTAAAGCTAGGCGCTGTATTAAGTGCCAATGTCCCAACTGTATTGATGAGGAGAATGGGATCAAGAAGCCGTCCTCGAAGAAAGTGCACATTTGCCACTATGCAGGCTGTGATAAGGTTTATGGCAAAACGTCGCATCTTCAAGCCCACTTGAGGTGGCATTCGGGCGAAAGGCCGTATGCCTGCCATTGGATGTTCTGCGGAAAGCGCTTTACTCGATCTGATGAGCTTCAGAGGCATATGCGGACCCATACTGGGGAAAAGCGGTTTTCCTGCACGGTTTGCTCCAAGCGCTTTATGCGATCGGACCATTTGGCCAAGCACAAAAAAACCCACAAGAATCCCAAGAAAAGCGAAGAACCAGCCAAGGAGCCGAAGGAGAAACCTGCGACTGTTAAACCTCCAGATTCAAGACTGGCCGAGAACGTGCCTACTACTCAAACAACACCAGCCAATGTGCCTGCTCAAGTTACGCGTGTTGCGGACAATTTCAATCACACGTCGAACATGTTTCCCTCCAACTATCCGTCAGTGCGATTTCATCAGAACTTACCATCAACTTACAATATGGTGCCGCATGGAAGCAACCTGAGCGACTACAGTCCTCAACTGTATTCAGCACATAATCAGTATTTCTCGGATTACGCCTATATGTAGAACCCGTTTGGACTGTTTTAGCGGATATGTGCCATAAAATTGTACATTGTTTATTTTTGCAAGCCCTGTTGACTTTAGGCTTAATTGTGTTCGTACTATATTTGTAAAATACATTGAAAAACAGAAATAAATCTTCTAATTTTCATAGAAATTACCCAGTGTTTTCCTAGATTCCATTTGAACTTTCAGCTGCTTGCAACTCTTGAAAGGCACGTTCCAATCAAATGTAAAGCCGATAAATCCTCACTGCCAACGCCAAAATATCACGATTTTTATGTGTCGCTTCGGCAAACTTGCAGACAATTAGTCAGCAATTCAAAAGCCTTTTAAAAGAGCTTTCATTATTAAATTAAACCTACAATTCAAATCCGACAAAATCAAGTCTTGGCTGGTGCTGCACCTAATGGAAACAATTCCAAACTAGAATGTAGCCAAGCGACAAGCAGATGGAGCCAGCATAAGAAATAATTGAGGGTGCTATTAAATGGGCGGGTTTTACGGATGCATGGCCGCCCTGATAGAGGAGGGCAACGAAAGAAAATAAGACAAAAAAGGCAAATTATAGTGTAATATTATGTATGCGCGGTGGGGTACACACAGCAGTGAAAAAGCTAGTTGGATTTAAGTCAGTTTCAATCAAAACACATGAATGTATGCCACTTTTCCGCAATTGTTACAATCAATGCTTCAAACAGTTGAAAGGTCCCGTTTAATCACTGCGTTTAGTGGTCGGGTTGCACGTTGGTGGCGCTACCTACGCGGGTGTTGTGTTGATTTGATTTTTGGACACTGTGTAGAGTGGTAGGGCCCAAAGGGATTTTACTGTCCGAGGATCGAAAGGAAACTGTCCAACATGGACCGGCAGGAGAGGGAGAAGGGACGCGGGTCTCCGGAATTATTAGCCGTAAGTCGTTGGAGCATTCTTGAGCTTAGGAAACATCAAAATGCACATACTTTTACACCCCCGTGCGGGTTTATGGCCCATTCCTCTCTAATTAATACGTGCATTCAAAAATTATTAAAAAAATGTATAGTTTGGCCATATATTGCATGGTGGAGCAACAACAATCATTCCTACCTGAAAAATCCGGCCATTCACACTTTAACTCAAGTCTTCCCAATATTCATAACAAACACTCCGTTTACACAAGAGTTGTGCTCGATAGTCACTAATTAAAATCCTGCTATTTTGGTCTAGCTAAATATCACTACCGTGAAAAAGCATCTAGGCTTAATTTACCTTGAAATTAAATCGTCGACTCAAGCCTCAAAGAGAAAAACACAAGATTTTTATTTTCATATCTCAACTTTTTCAAGTCATGGACAGTCTTGCATCAACATAATTAACACACTCTACATTACATTGCTCTTCTACACTGCGCCGCAAATTTAACGCATATTTTCCAAATTTCCTAGCTTTTGACTGTGAAGATTTCCTCAGTTGGTCAGCGGATTTGAATAATTTTTTGTCGAGTCAAAGTTCTGTTCTTGCACAAAATTTACGCTGTTAGATAAGCAAACAGATGAACTATTGTTCAGGGCGTTTAAAGACTGTCATGGTTTTTTTGATCAAAAATTGAAACATTCCGCCGATATCCGATCTTAGCCTGATGTCTTCAGAGTAATTTGAATCTTGAATCGTCTGTTTGTCCTGAGCCATTCGAGAGATTTTCAATTTTTATGGCCGGTCACATTTTCCGCTCTAAATTTAGGTACTTATTTATTTAGCCCAGAATACATTTTAAATACCTATTTGTAAAATCCACAGCGAGAAATCAGTCGCTGTTCCCGGACCGGTACAGACAGCTTATAAATCTAGTATAAAAATATACACATATTATACGGACTGTATACAACTCAACGACCCTTGAAAAGCTCTTATTCCTAGTTTTCCTTAAACTGATGAGAGAAAATTCATGTTTCAATGACTCATAGGTATGCAAAAATTTGGTTCAGATCCACTGGTCTTTCTAGAGTAAAGGAGCTATTTTTGTTTACTATTTTTAGTAGTTTGTTTCGAAGCGCTTGCAATAAAAGCCATACTGTTCACTTGATAATAAATCATAGATTGGAGGAATTCAGGGAGTCCTGACTATTTTAATTTATATTTCTTATTTTGACTTATTCTCCTGACTGCGTGTAATTGTTATTATAATCAAAATTAATTCCGGGGTTTCAGTCATTTATTGTCTCTATTTATCAATTATAATTAAATGAAATAAACATAGAATATTTATTTTATCAATTATAATTAAATGAAATAAACATAGAATATTAACTAACACCCGGTATATTGAAGAATTTTGCAAACCAAAAATAATATCCTCAAAATACAAAGAAAAATAGCTGAAAGTAAAAGAAATCAATATAAACAGTATTTTATTCGCCTTGTGTCCAAAATGGACAAAATTAATACTCCAAATGTATGCCAAGGCTTAAAGCA